GGTATTGACAACATGAAAGACATCGATTTGGTTATGACTCCCGAAATGGAAAAAGAATGGTCAGCCTTTTATGAACGTGCAAAAGCTGATTATAAAGGTACCGTAGCTGCTGATCTTAAAAATCTTTTTGCTTCTACAACCGATACTCTAATTAAAAAAAGAGTGAGTGATGATATTTTAAATTCAGATCCAAAGATAAGCCTGGAATGTCTCAAAAATATTGACAGCTATCCGTTCGCCACTAGACTTAAAAATCTAAATAAACCGCTTTATCTGGTAAACAGCGACTACACGCCAACAGACACATCATCCTTTGCGAAAAATAATATTTCCTGTAAGGTTTTAAGCGTGGGATTAACAGGACACTATCCCATGATTGAGGCACCGGAAAAATTTAACGCTGTTTTAATGGAAGCAATAGAGGGAATTAAGTCTCGCTAAAATAAATTCCCTTAAAGATAGATTATAAATTACGTGTCAGGAGTTCGTGATTGTATTTTGTTTTATAATCTATAGGCGACATGCCCGTGACTCTGTTAAACACTTCTCTGAAAGCTTTGGTATCATTATAACCTACGGCGTACATAACTTCATGCACGGTTTTTCTACTATTTTCAAGAGCCTTTTTAGCAGCTTCAATTTTTACACGTTGTAAATAATCAAGTGGAGTTATTCCCGTTGCTTTAATAAAACGTCGGTCAAAATTTCTTCTTCCCACACTGAATTTTTCGGAAAGGTGTTCAATGGTTATTTTCTTCTGAAAATGTTTTTCAATGTATGATTGTGCGTTCAGGATAACATCATCAGAGTGCTTCTTCTGCCCCGAAAAAATAGCGAAGGAAGATTGTGCATGTCGCTCTACATCAATCTGGAACATTTTCGTACAATATACGGCAGTTTGTTTGTCGTAATATTTTTCAATCAAAAACAAAACGAGATTTAAAAAAGAATAGGCGCCCCCGTTCGTGTAGATTCCGGATTCGTGTGTTATTAATTTATCTTCTTTTAAAATTATTTCCGGAAA